GCGCAAACTCGGTGTGTCTCCTGGATTCCCCCAGTACGAGTCGTGTGTCCCTGTTCCCATATTCTCAGACTGAATTGCGAAAAGTTGAAAGCTGCATTAAAAAAAATTACCAAAATAAAAATTGACAATTACAGTATACACGTTCAATTTTGACGAGATGTGACCTAGCAGCTCTATTAGTATGAGGTGTCGACATCCTCGTCATCTTCTTTCTCTAGCTGATGGGAGATGACTGCTGCGACGCACCACTTGTCTTCCAAAGGATCTTTCTCCAGCTGCAGTATCGTATACTGGCCCAGTCGCAGTGAGCCTGCATGGTCAATCCACATCCGTCAATTGTCAAAAAGATCTTCACTAATGAACACATATCAGTCAGCATGGACGCACCTGGATAGATCAATGGAAGCTGCGCGTGTGGATGCTGGTCGCTGCCGCCAATGATCTCAATCGCACGAGGTTCTTCTGGCTTGTTCGACTGCAACATCGGCAGCAGACCAGCGAAGAAGGAGCTTTCCACCACAGGCAGCCGCGTCTTGACCGATGAGTCGCGCAGTACCAGCACCATATCGCGGTCCTGCATCGGGTCCTTGCCGTCGTTCACTAATCTGTCATTAAGAATATCAACCAAGGCTGTGTTAGTCAAATCTTCACTCATCAGATCGTTTAAGCGATGCATACTTGAAATATCGCGCTTCACCCATGATCGTCACGCCCTCAATAAGTTGCTCTTCTTGGTAGTAGACATTAGACGAGTATTGCGTCAATGACGGCGCCGACACGGCGATACTGCGCGTCGTGGGCGGGTCGTTCTGCTCAAATAAAGTTATCCACAGCCTCCCAGTCAACTCCTCGCAACAGGCTTTAAAGCAGAAAGCAAGCGTACATTGTCGGGAATGTAGAGAACGCGACAGATGATCATTTCGAGCCGTGAGATGAGCGCCATCATGTCTCCTTCGGCTGCCGCAACAGCTTCGAGCGCCTCGTAGTCATGCGGCCCACGTTTGGCCACCAGACCGCCAGCTACGAGCACGGCACTTACATCGCAGTCCTCGGAGCTCACCAGTTCCTCGCACAGTTGATTAACACGCGGGATCTGCCCCTCCAGGTCGCTCAGCAGCAACAGCTTCAGCTTAGTGGCGTCGGTGCGAATCGTCATAGACGTTGGTTTGTCTCGATTGGCAGCACTCCTTGGCGCAACGTTCGAGCAACATAAGCAACGTGGGACCTAGGTGTATATCGGTGCCGATCCACAGACGATGCCACGATGAGTAAGTTCTTGCTTGGGCTATGCTCAGCGGACACACAGGAATCTTGTGGTATTGGCATCATCGCTGGCGAAAGGCTCGTGAGAGGCATTTATTTCATCTTGTGGACTGAAAATCGTTTGGCGTCAAGTCGAGTGGGACGTATACAGTCACCTCCATCGAAATAGTCCCCACTCCATATTCTACTTGGGACGGTGTTCTGTCGCCAGCGTTATTCAAGCTGCCTCGATGAGGTGGATAGCATGTAAATGTGGGCAAACTATTGGAGCTGAACCGCCGTTGAACCGAAACGAAAGGTGGTTTTGCGTGGGAGAAGCATCAGTCAGCCAGGCACATCTCTGGCAAGCGCGGCATCACACCAGCGAACTGCTTCTTCCCATTGCAGACACTCGTCAGAAACCACCCCCAACTGCTGCAACTTGAACGGTGTGGCCATGAGCGTTCATCCCCGTTTTTTGCTGTGTGAACTCGCGTCACGGCTATTTTCCGTTGAAGCGACAAACGTTCGGACGGCACCACCGTATACCGGATAAAGCAACTTTGCCGCCGTTCCTGTACTTACTTTTTGTAAGTCGAATTCAAAATCATGCCGGTAAATGTTCTTGCTACTTTCGAGTATACATTGTCGACCGTTAGTGCTCGGGTTGCGGCTTCGCCATGGGATGGGGAGGGCAGAACCGGGAAGACGCCCCCACGCGCTCCATTCCTGGGGATCCATTGCTCACTTCTTCACTTGTCTTCGCCCCAAGTCCTGTTCCTCTTGTTGGCGGGCCTCCACCGGCCATGAACGCAGCGCATTACCTGCTGGACCGCATGCGAACGTGCAAAGCGTTGCAAGAGATTGGTGACAAGAAAGCGCGCGGCTGCTTCTCGTCCGTGGGTAGCGCTACGCATTCGTTCCACGGCGACGATGCTGTGGGCTTTGGACCAGGCTACATGGTGGTGGCGGACGGAGTGTCGGGAACCATGAAGGCGTCAGGTGTTCTTGCACGCATGCTGGTGGCCGAAACGCTGTCGGCACTGGCCAAGCTGCGCAAGCGCTCGCGGGAGGAACCCCCGTGCGCCGAAGACTTTAACGAAAGCATACAGGCGGCCATCAAAAGCGCACGCAAAATGGCCAAGCGCAAAGGACGACTCGACTCGACCATCTCAGCGGTCTACTTCGATGAGACCACTCGCCAGATGTTCGTATACACGATCGGCGACTGCAAGTGCGTAGTGTTCCGCGGCGCTCAGCTCGTGTTCGAGAGTGACTCCATCATCTACGACTTTAATGTGCC